TGGTGAAACTAAAATTATGAGAAAGAAATTGGAGGTCATTGGTGGGCTACGGGATCGGGTTATCGGGCTTGAACGTGTGTGTATATATATATATATATATATATAATAGGTTAAGTATCACTCATTTCAAAATTAAAAACAAAGGTTTTAAATTTCAAAATTTAGATATTTATTAAATTTATTTATGATTTAATTAATTAGTTATATATTTTATTAATTAAATATATTAAGGTCACATATCTATATAATTTGGTCACAAATTAACGATTTAATTAGTCACGAATCAAAATTTTTATTTCACAAATTATGTTTATCCTAACAATTTAAAAAATTTATATGTCACACTTTGCTCATTGGTCACAAATAAAAAAAATTGTAAGTCACGATTTATTTATTAGTCACAAATCACAAATGTAATAAATCACAACTTATTATACAATCACAAATTATCAAATTATAGGTCGCAAATTAATAATTTTTTAGGTCACATTATTTCTTGATCACAATTATTTTTTCATTGATCACATATTGTTTATTAGTCACTGATTAACCAATTTAATTATCACAATCAACCAAATCGTTTGTAACCACCACCAACACTTGTGACCATCGCCTTACCACTATCACCAAATCGCATCGTCCCAAAAAAATAGCCACTAGAACCACCCCCTCCCACCACAACCACTGCTAGATCACCACCGTCGTCGCAACGACCATCATCACCAATTATGACCACTACCTCACCCCTGCCTCCAGCAGTGCCAACGCCACACAGAGCTCAACAACGACGATGACAACCAACACCACTGCCAAACACTACCACGATGGTTGCACCATCTCCTCCAATACCATCATTTGCATCAGCGAGACCATCACAGCCACCAACTGCATCAACATCGCCATCTACTCAACCACCACTACTATTTGCAAAAACACCAACCACCACAAAAAAACTCAAACTAAATAAATCTAATTAAAAAATAAAAAATAAAAAATTGCAACACCACCAAGGGCGATGCACCTCTGCAGATCTCGATCTATTTCATCGCTACAAAAGATCGCGTCGCTGTAGATATCCTCGTCATTCGTGCTCTATAGATCCCAATAGTCGGATGTTGTATATTCCCATGAACATCAACCGGTACTACAGCCACTCATATCGATCGGATGTTGCAGATTCTCATGCACATCAATCGATATTGCAGCCGCTCACAGTGCATGGTAGTCACAGACACTTTCCTTTCGTTGAGAGAGAGAGAGAGAGAGAAGTGAAGAGGGGAAAGAGAGAGATGAAAATATGAAGACGATTAGGGTTGGGTTGGATTGAGTTGGGTGGGAGGGGTAGATATGTGTATTAGTTTAATTTTATAATATGTTTATAAAATAATAATATAGTAATTAACAAAATATTTGATTTGTGAAATAATAAACTTAACATATGATTTATGAAATGGGATCTTTAAAAGTATGTTTATATATATATAGTTGAACTAGCTGCTCATCTAGTATATATTTTTTATATAGTGAATTCTTATTTGTTCGTGATTTTTTCTTGTCTAGCGTTTTCAAGTAAAATTGTGTTTATATTGTATATTTTCGCTTTTATGTAACACGTGCTAAGCTTGGAGAGCAAGAAACTTAACGTGATAAAAAAAAATAATGATAAAGTTGATATTTCCTTGGTGATCAAGTAAAAATAATAATTTAAAAATAAAAAACAGAAGTTTAGAATTTGCCACCAATAGGTGGTCGTGTAGTGGAATAAAACTTGTGGCGGTGATAAGAGCTTTATCCTACAGAAAAGCCCACCATTGTGAAACCCATTTCTATAAATTCTCGTTTCCTCCTCCAACTATCTACTCCATTAAAGTTCCTCCCTATTACTTTTATCAACAAATTTAAATCTGAAAATCAACTTATTTCTCCTACCCAAACCAATACAATGGATTCAGAATGTAAGGAAGTGGCTCAGGTCGCAGTGGTGATGGTGCCTCTTCCGGCACAAGGCCATCTCAACCAGCTCCTTCACCTCTCCCGCCACGTCTCCTCCTACAACATCCCCGTCCATTTCGTCGGCACCACCATGCACAACCGCCAAGCAAAGGCTAGAGTCCAGGGTTGGGACCTTTCAGCCACCACCAATATTCATTTCCATGATTTTCCAACACCTCCATTTCACAGCCCTCCCCCTGACCCCAATGCCACCTATAAATTTCCCTCACAAATCATTCCGGCATTTCACGCGTCAATGCATCTGCGCGTGCCTGTTTACGCTTTTGTAAACGAACTTACGAGCACAGCCAGAAGAATTGCTGTCATTTATGATTCTATGATGGCTTATGTTGTTCAGGACATACATTCTATTACGAATGTTGAAAGCTATTGTTTTAATAGTATATCGGCGTTCTGTATATACGCATATTACTGGGAAGCTACTGGAAAATCTGCTGTAAGTACTGAAGCAGAAATTTTGAAAGAACTTCCTTCCCCGGAAGGTTGCGTTCCACCAGAGGTTTCAAAATTTACAAAATTGCAAGTAGAGGCGAAGATATCCAGCTCCGGAGATCTTTATAATTCGAACAGATTAATAGAGGAGTTGTATCTTGATTTACTTGCAAAAGAGAAGACGACAGGAACAGATAAAGTATGGGCTGTAGGACCATTTAATCCAGTGGTGATACCTGAAAAAAGGGACTTAAACAGCCATAAAAACTGCTTAGAATGGCTTGACAAACAACCTCAGAATTCAGTGATATTTGTTTCATTCGGCTCAAGTTCTACGTTTTCCAATGAACAAATCAAAGAGCTCGCGCTCGGGTTAGAACAGAGTGAACAAAAATTCATATGGGTATTGAGAGATGCGGATAAAGGGGATATCTCCGACGGTGAAGTTAGGAGAGTTCCATTGCCTGAAGGGTTTGAAAAGAGAGTGGAAGGAAGAGGACTGGTTGTGAGAGACTGGGCACCACAGTTGAAAATTCTGGGTCACCCGTTCACCGGTGGCTTCATCAGTCATTGCGGATGGAATTCATGTATAGAGAGCATAAGCATGGGAGTTCCAATAGCAGCTTGGCCGGTGCATTCAGATCAGCCTAGAAACGCCGTGCTAATAACCAAAGTACTGAAAATCGGTCTGGAAGTACGGGATTGGGCACATAGCGAAGAATTGGTGTCACCAGCTGTGGTAGAGAAGGCTGTAAGAAGATTGATGGATTCAGCAGAAGGAGAAGAGATACGAAAAAGGGCAGCAGAATTAGGAGATGCAGTAAAGCAGTCAGTGATGGATGGTGGTGGTACACGCAAGGAGATGGATTCCTTTATTGCTCATATTACTAGACAAATTTCTCCATCTCAAATCTAGAGATCTTTTGTTATCCTTATCGCTAGTACTTTAATCTGTTATTTTCAAGAATAATAAGTTATTTGAGAATTTTGCTTTTCGTTCTAAGTGTTTATTCACAAGATTATGTGATCTATACATCCTAACTTTGTTCCTCAGTAGCAAGTTATTAAATACAAAATAGCAACTTTTCAACTTGAACTCCCTGGGAATTTGAGAATGCGACTTTGATATTATTGTTAATTCTTCTTGGAACTACGACACATGTTCAACCTTCTCTGTTCATTGACTAATCCAATAAGATGAGCGTATTCTTCCATCTATTGGCCAGAAATCCATTAACACTTCTATAATTGTTTTTATTGCATCATCCCTGCTGAGATCTAGATATTTTAGTTGTCACTTCTTGGATGCAGTCTTGGGCATATTATCATGCCTCCTCTGCTAGTTACTATTCATTTGTGACGCTTTCGTTTTCACAATTGAACCTGTTTCCACTTTGCTTCTTTCAAAGTTCAGGATTAGTTCTATATTGTTTCTGCAGCCACCTTTTTTGACAAATTAAACACTTTTTTGCGTAACACTTTTGCGTGATAATATCTAAGAAAGTTATTTGAGAATTTTGCTTTTCGTTCTAAGTGTTTATTCACAAGATTATGTGATCTATACATCCTAACTTTGTTCCTCAGTAGCAAGTTATTAAATACAAAATAGCAACTTTTCAACTTGAACTCCCTGGGAATTTGAGAATGCGACTTTGATATTATTGTTAATTCTTCTTGGAACTACGACACATGTTCAACCTTCTCTGTTCATTGACTAATCCAATAAGATGAGCGTATTCTTCCATCTATTGGCCAGAAATCCATTAACACTTCTATAATTGTTTTTATTGCATCATCCCTGCTGAGATCTAGATATTTTAGTTGTCACTTCTTGGATGCAGTCTTGGGCATATTATCATGCCTCTTCTGCTAGTTACTATTCATCTGTGATGCTTTCGTTTTCACAATTGAACCTGTTTCCACTTTGCTTCTTTCAAAGTTCAGGATTAGTTCTATATTGTTTCTGCAGCCACCTTTTTTGACAAATTAAACACTTTTTTGCGTAACACTTTTGCGTGATAATATCTAAGAAGAAAAGCAGGACCAGGGAAATTTTCCATCTTGTTTAAATGTGGGCCAGCATCACTAGCAGATCTGGGGACGGGCTCGACTGTGTTATAGTCCGTCGCTGAAAATTTACTTTTGTCTTAGATTTTTTAGGTTTTTTTCCAAAGATAATTTATATATATTTGTATTATAGTCCCTATTTAAACTTAAAGTTGAAATCCGTCCCGCATTAATAAATGGTGCCAGTAAGTGGCAGCAAGTATTTGTCTTCATTTGACTTTTGTAATATTAAACGGCGTGGAAAATAATGTAGAGTTATTGACTCAAGGATTTTTCTGACAATTATGAAAGTGAGGATGGAATGATATTTTCTTTTTAATTTTCAGGTGTTAAGACTGCAACATTAGGGGATCTCGTATCCAATTGCACAAGGGAACTAACTGTCAACCACAGCATGTGAAGCATAATGAAATTCAAATCAACTCATTCAGCTGCTCGCATCAAGAGTTGTAAATTAATTGTTTCAATGATCATTAAACTTAGGTTCATATCTTTAATTGATCACTGAAATTTAAAATGTCAAGTTTTGGTCACTGAACTTAGGTTCATGTCTTTGATTGCTCACTGAAATTTAAAATGTCGAGTTTTGACCACTGAATTTTGAAAAATATTGTACATTAACTTAGGTTTATGTCTTTGATTGGTCATTGAAATTTAAAATGTCGAGTTTTGGTCACTGAATTTAAGTCCATGTATTAGATTGCTAATTGAAATTTACAATGTCGAGTTTTGACCACTGAACTTTGAAAAATGTTGTACATTACTTACTGAATTTTGAAATACTGTACATTACTCACTGAATTTTGAAAAATACTGTACATTACTCACTGTAAACTCAATATTTTTCAAAATTCAACAGTTATGCTAGTGAGTAACGTACGAAATATTTCAAAATTCAGTAACCAAAACTCGACATTTTAAACTTCAATGAGCAAACTAAGATATCAGTGAGCAATCGAAGACATCGACCTAAATTCAATGACTAAAACTCGACATTTTAAACTTCAATTACCAATCAAAAATATGGACCTAAATTTAGTGGTCATTAGAACAATTAACTCCTTATTATGCCTATAATGGCTTTCTAGCTCTCTTCATAATGCACAAAATTCTACTCACTAAGTCATGCAATTGAGCACATTACATACATTTATTATATGAACAAGAACCGTAGTAAGCAAGGATGATATGTATGGAAATGAAATTTTCTTCTGCTGTGTAAAATGCAACCCCCTAACATGTACATCTACTCATCAGCCTTTATTTAATCAACACATATATCTATTATCAATGCCTAGTATTCAACACGCTAACATTACGTTCAAAATTATGATGCATCGACACGACACGTTGTTGACATTTGATTAAATTTTTTTAAAAAAAATCATTTATATAGTAAAAATTTGGTGTTATACTTCTTATCAATTTTTTGTTGAATTTTTTTTAAATATAAATACCTATTTGTTACTTATTAATAAATTTGAGTTAAAAATATATAATATTTATAGTAAAAAAGGAAAAATGATTATGGTATAGTGTCCGAGGAGTGTGGTATCAAAACGTGTCGAACACGGTACACTACCTTAGTTAAAATGTTCGTGTTACATAGGTTCAAAATAATGCAACTCATGCATTGCACTTGCAAAGGACAAGTAGAAGAGAAGAGGGAGAAATATAATACTATATAGTTGGTGAAAGAACATGAAAAGCAACTTGCTCTATTCAATTCTGATATCTCAATAGACTGATAATCTACCATTATTTACATAATGCCTGGGTTGGTAAAAATCTGCTAATGATGGTGAGAAATGAATTAATTCGATATATGGGCTCTATTGTATGTCCGTTTGGTAGGAATTCTACTTTTTGTACACTACTAGTCAGAATAGACGTTGGTTTGAGGAGAAAGTGGTAATTCATTCTAGTAGGAGGGAAAATTAATTGACATCATGTCTATTTTCCAACACTTCATATAATTTCAGTAAAACATTCAAGACCATTGCTAGAAGCTGTATATGTAGATTGTTAATATACATGTGCGCGTAAGTTAGAGAACAGAGAAATTTCGAAATGACTAAATCCTAAAGGATTACTAGTACCTAAATCCTGATAGACACTATAAGTCGTTACAACTTACAAATGATGGGATTTAGTAATCAAATGATAAACCTGAAAAGTCATTACGAAAAATGGAAGTTGCACTCGAAATTCCAGAGCTGAATAAACTATTCTAGTCAATTATGTTAGAAAATTAGATAGTGTTACGTGTTGACACACTTGGCCGACCCATTGAGGCCCATGGCCCACTTATGTCAAACTACGTGGTATCCTAGCCGAGGCTCCCAGGCCACAGAAGTCAACCAGCATACCGAAATAACACACATGACGTGGCCCAAATGCTGGCATTGAAGTGAATAAGCCGAGGTGGTTTGTCTTGCCGAGGCCCGGACACCCTAAGTAGCACTCCTCCCCAGAGATCCGGTCTTACACAAGGATCTTTTCTGATTGATTGATGGGACACCCATCATAGAGTGCAAGCGTCTTGTCTTGTCAAAGTAGTGACGACTCTGTCGCTTAATAAATGTGTAGCAGGCTAGGAAATTAAGTGTGATGTCTAAAATTTGACATGTAAACTTACGAGATGAGGCCACGTATTCTCCCAACCGAGGGCCACGATATAACTTGTAATACTATAAATGCTTCCCCATACATCTCTCGCAAGGATAATGCAATATTCAATACAAGAACTAAGATTTCACATTTTTTACTCTCTTAGTACACTTTATTCAACAACATTTTTACCATCTTGCAATACAATACAATATGAATTCATACGCGCATTTTACAAACATTGATTGGTAATTATTGTACAATCGTTATGCAAACATCTCGTCGGATTCCAAATGTTCTCGTCCCACGCTGTTGATTCACTCTCAGGCCCTTGATTTGTCCATTTGAGATCGTCCACATATTTTAGCGTGTTGGACTAGGCTTACGCGGGTGGGTCCGATATCTGTTGGCAACATTTCTTGTGGTCAACAGATTGGCGCTATCTGTAGGAAACCATACCATAACCACGAGTAACCGTGTGGAAAAGCTTACTAAACGAAGAATATTTGAGCATCCCCCTTGAAAAAGGATTTGTTCTTGAAAATTAACAAGTGGAAGCCCCATAACTTGCAACAATTTGAAGTTGGAACACGAAAGAATGAGTTCGGACGAAAATGTACCTCCTAGGAGGGTAAGGAAAAATGTGGGAATGCCCCCACCGACAATTGCCGCAGCTCGACATCGACCTCATCACCACAACAGAAGAGGTGGCATGCGAATGACCGCTCAGTTGTCGAGAGAGATGGCCACCATAGCCGCGAAAATGAGAGACATCGCTAGCTAAAATATGGCCATGAGTCATGGCCCAAACGCAGAGCTAGGGAGGCTTCCCATTTCTCCCTATGCACCTCAAGGACACTACCAATAGTGATGTTAATGGGTCGAGCCGAGTTGGTCGGCCCTTAACCTCACGAGCTCGGCTAGCGAGCTCGTCATCTTTTTCTTTTTTTTTTTAAATAGAGAAAAACACAAATCATTAATGAAAACACTTTTTAAAAAAATAAAAAGTGTTAAAAAATACAAATAATTTAATGAAGACACTTTTTTCTTTTTCTTTTTTTTTTATTTATATCATATTGTAATATTTTTTTATAAAGTATAAAATATTTATATAATGAAAACGAATTATTTTTTGAAATACATTTACAAAAAATGCAATTTTTTATTTCTTTTTAAAGTAGATAAAATGTAAACACTCCTCTTTTATCCGGACTTGGGACCGGTTACATCAATTTTAAGTAGGCGGAGTTAAAAATTGTACACGAACAACTTGTTGTAACGTATACAATTTTAAAAAAAAATTAAATTTAACGATTAAAAAAAGGAAATTTTGATTAATATAATTAAATCAAATATCACTTACTTGACGACATGCAATTTCAGTGTATTTATCTTATAGTCGAAAATGAGCAT